AGACAAGCCACCCCAACAGTTGGCAGTACACCAGTGTCAGCCTTGGCAGGATAAATCTCCCCAGACTTATCCAACGACTGTGAACATTTAAAACCAACACAAGTCTCATTAAGTGTCCAGTTTTAAAGTCTTACACAGAAGTATACCACACAACATGAATCAAACATGTACTTCATTTACTTACATTAAATATCAAAAGTACATCAAAACTGATTGAAGCTAAGGGCATACAAAAACTGTCCAACAGCAAGGTTGGAAAATTGCCAACAAAGTGTACTTCTAAGAAGATTTGGGACCCGGTGATGGAAAGAATGGAAAGGAAACTTGCCTCTTGGAAATCGAGGTATCTTTCAAAGGGAGGGAAACTTACGCTATTAAAAAGTGTTTTGTCTTCTCTTCCTACCTACTTGTTGTCTCTCTTCTTTATTCCAGCTAGTGCGGCTAAGAAGTTGGAGAAGACAATGAGAGATTTTCTTTGGCAGGGATGGAAGGATGAGCTTAAATTCCATTTAGTCAGTTGGAGCAAAGCTTGTAAATCTAGAAAGGAAGGAGGCTAGGGTTTAAGGAATGTGAGAAAGTTTAATTTGGCTTGTCTTGGGAAATTGTATTGGAGGTGGAATGAGCAGACCACAAGTCAATGGAGGAAAGTAATAGAGGCTAAGTATGGCTCAAGGAACTCAAATTGGGACCCAAGGGAATCGAATTTATCTTATGGATGTGAGGTCTGGAAGGGTATTCAGAAGTCAAAGAAGGATTTCAGACAAGGTTTAAGAATGGAAGTAGGAGATGGTTCTAGAGTCAGATTCTGGAAGGAGGTCTGGTGTGGGGATCACCCTCTTAAGGATAGATTCCCAACCCTCTTTGGTACTGCCATCAACAAGGAGTGTTTGGTGTCAGAGGCATTTTCTCAGGTCGGAGGGGCAGGTCTGTGGTGTCCCAGTTTTAGAAGGAACCTGAATGATTGGGAAGTGGAGCAATGGTAGGAGTTGATGCAGATCCTGTGCACGATAAGGGTGGATAAAACAAGGGGGAACAGGAGGATTTGGGCAAAGGAGAAATCAGGTAGTTTCTCAGTCAAATCTTTTTACAACAGCCTTTGCCGGGAGGAGGAAGATAATTTTCCTGAAGAACTCATTTGGAGGGCAGTGGCTCCTCTAAAAATCTCCTTCTGTCTATGGGTGACGACCTTAGGGAAGTGCTTAACAGCTGACAATCTAACAAAGAGAGGTTGGGTAGTAGAACCAAGCAGATGTGTCCTATGTGGCAACAACTCTGAAAAGTTGGAGCATCTTTTCCTGCACTGCAGATTTAGTTGGGTAATTTGGAAGAAAATGTTAGAGGTTTTTGGAGTCCAGTCGTGCCTCCCAAGGAATGTATTGGATCTGTTACGGGGTTGGGGTCTAAGGGTCTGTCAAGAAGAGGTAAGATTGTACCGGAAGGTGCTGCCAGCGGTGGTGGTGTGGTCAATCTGGTCGGAAAAAACAAGAGACTCTTTGAATCTCAGTTGAGATCAGAGGAGGAAGTCTTAAGAAGCATTTGGGGAAGGTTACACTCCTGGGTGGCAACGAACAAACTGTTCAAGAATTGTCCTCATTTTTGGAGTATAGAAATATTTTTGTATGTTCTTTTTGGTTTTTCTGAGTTGTACAAAGCTTTGCCATGCTCAGTTCCTCAGTAGGCAAGGCTGTATCTTTTTTCAGTCTTTTGTTAATGAAATGCTTTACCTTTTATCTCAAAAAAAAAATAATGAGAGATTTTCTGTGGGAACCAAGAGAGACAAAGAAAGATCACCCAATTAGATGGGAACTGGTAAGTAGGAGTTTGGTGGTTTAGGGATAAGGAGGTTAAAAGAGATGAATATGGCACTGCTAGGAAATTAGAGATTTCTGCAGGAATCAGATAAACTGTGGCAAAAGGTGGTGGCTAGCATTCATGGGCTCTCAGATAATGGTTGGGACGTTGGAATTTCTATTAGAGTGTCCAGTGCTGCTCATAGGAAACCTATCCATAAAGTTCTTCCATTGTTCCTAAATCATATCAGGTTTGATCTCAACTAGGTAATAGAATAAAGTTCTGGGAAGACTTATGGGTGGGTGAAGCTCCTATAAAGAATTTGTTTCCATCACTTTTTACCCTTTCCTTCTTTAAAGGCAAACCCACTTCAGAGTTTTTGGAGATGTATGAGGGCTGCAGTGATCTAGACATTACGGGAGGAATGAAATCCTAGAATTTTTTAGGATAAGAAAAGAAGCAAGGAAGTTATGATAGAAGGGATTATAGTAAGGGTGACATATTGGGTTAAGGTTTTAAGTCTATGGTGATGGAGTTTATTATTTAAGTCTATGGCAGGAAGTTAGACAAGTATGGGCCATGGTGATGGAATTTATTATTTGACAATGAGGTTAGTTATTCGGTGATATGTGGAGATTTTCTAAGGGTTCTTGGGCCAGAATGTTCTTGTATACTTCCACTGTCTTTTATACTTCTTTAATGAGTTTTTATTTGCTAAAAAACACATAATAGCATATAAACACATATAACACAAGCAAAAGTGTAGCTTAACCTCTTTCTTATAGAAGCATATTTTTCATTTTCACAAATGGAGTCAGAAATGTTTCGAAGAAGAAAACATTTTGCATCCTTAAGCACCTGAAATGTTTAAAACAAATAAGTCAGACAAGCATCATAAGAGAGTTTAGATTCTTGTGGTATCATGAGTGCAAAATACATATTAATATACCTTTGCAAGTAGGGGCAGAGCATCCAAAGCAGTCTTAAGAAGGATAATGCTTGATATCAGTACCTGACTCCTTCTAGCATTATCAACACCAGAGGCCACTTTGGCAATTTTGTTTGGCTTGAAACAGAAGTGACAGAGGACCCTATCTGGAATGGTATCGCCAGTTCACTTCTATAAATATTAGAAGTATGCAGCTTCTAGAATACTGCAACCTAAAAACTTCTCTCTCTATTAGACTGCATCTTATGTACTATTTTCAAGAAATTCTGCTTACCAGTTTCTTTAGGAAACTTACGAAGAACCTGTGAGAGCCCAAAGAATAGTTCCTCATTGCTCATCAACTCATCCTGGAGAGAAGATTCATCAGATATAGTGTAACAAACATAAATATTGTAATAGCAGATTTCTATTTGTGGAATGATGTTCCATGTTATATCTTTAGAAAACATTTGCTGAAAACCAATATACACGTATTTTATGAGAATATGTGAAGGATTTTTTGTAGAAACTTCAATGAGAAACACGATTTGTTAATTCTATTTATTTCCCAATAAGAACTTTAAGAAAAAAAAGAACAGCAAAAAAAGAACCACCTGATCAAGCTAAAGTCCTAAACAGAACTAGTCCACTAAGTTCCATACTAAGGTAGCACAAACCAATTCCCCAAAAGCTAAAGCCAGAACCCACTAAAGAGCTGTAGTCATGTTATTCTATCATGGCATATGATAATTTCTAACCACTGCCGAAAGAACAGAGATGAACTTGACTGCCACAGATAATTCCAAAATCTATTTCAAGGCATTATCACGGTTCCAAAGCCTCCTTACATTCATCTTTGCTCCAGCTTATTTTACTTTAAATACCCTGGTTGTACAAGTACCCAAAGTTTCTAGTTCAGTCCTAGGAATTAGATCATTTAATAATTTTTCACAATAATTTCTCTTTTACCTAGTCATCTCTCATCAACACCATTTGGTCATCACTTTTGTCACATCAAGCATTCCTGGTCTTTTGATAGCAATTAAAATTATAATTTTTCAAAAGAATTTTTTACAGTTTGATATTAAATAGAAAAAACAGAGTATAGTTTTTCTGAACAAGAATCCAATTGACATGAAGAATAATACAACCGTTGTACAAGAAAATGTGGTTATCCGACTGATAAAAAAGTAGTTATCCTAAAAGTCTTGTTCTTCCTATGGCTGTATCTTATTTCGCCAAAGCAAACTCCAATCTTGCTCACATCTACAAGTATGCCAATGATAAGAAAATAATAAATCCTATTAGAGTAAATAAAGAATGCAATTAAGAATATTATAAGAACATTATAACTCATATAATGAAATGCTGATGAAGATGCCTACCTCTTCAGTAATAAGATTATACTCATTAATTAACATCTGACAGAAGAAGTTGGCTAACATATATTTCATAATGTACCAGGCAATCAAGACGAGCATTGATAGTCTCGATGTCTTTTAAAGGCTGAAGAAGATTGGCTCGGAGTAGTCTAGTCCTGGATAGGAAATTCATTATAATAGCCAAATTACATGGGTCTTATGCAAATATTCTTGCAGTCCAAGCATCATTATAAACTTTTTCTTTTTATTGGTATTGTTACAAATAAATGTTCCATGTCATAAAAGAACAAATAATAAGCATACATGTGTGCTGACAACACTACAAGAAAAAAGCATGGCCTTCAGAAGATAGCTCAAGCATCTCAACCAGTGTAATGGAAAACTAGAAGACTATCTACCCCAAAGTAATAATTTTCACATTCTAGGCCATATGCCCACATTATCTATAAAATGTGAACTTATATAGCTATAATTTAAAAGATTTGATAAAATTTTAATAGGTTCATGTTAAAATAATTTAGTTGTTGGTGTTAGGGTCTGTTTGGCTAGTTAAAGTGTTTTATCTTCTGTAACAGCAAACCAAAAGGTTAATTTAACATACCCTCCAATGGTTCTTGTTGTCTTAAGCATATGAAATAGACTTCTCTTTTTGTTGCCAGTGCCCCAAAGGGTGGAATGCAATGGCTCAATGATTTCCAAGTTCTGAACACTGCTAGGAAAGGTTTGTCATCAAAGAAATCAAATAAAAGTAGAGCATACAAAAGAATATATCATTTTCTCAATGACCTTTGAATGCAAAGCAGTGTCAATAAAATGAATAAGCTATTACAAAAATCTATTTTTTAACTGATAATTCAACACTTAAGTGCTAGTTCTATTGATTACATTAGAAACTCACCTCGTAGCATCTATGTTCATATGGTCAAATGAACCATTAAAGGTAACCTGGGAAAATTGGTGACAATAAGGCTAGAGATTAGAGTCAACCACATACAAGACAAAGAACAACTTTTACCATCCTAAGACAAGCACATCAAGCACCAGCCCTTGTGTAACAAAAGCAAAGTTTTTACCTTGAGCAGCCTATTCTTAAATCTTATTTTTAAAATGCTATCATACAGAAACATATCAAAGTGGAAGAACATAGAACTTCGGAAATAATATACTGAAATACATATATTCAAACACAGGCAATGCCAATACTTGTATGCAACATTAAAAAAGGAAAAGAACAACTTTTTGGGGCAAAAAAGTCATTTTAGATATTTAATTATTTACCCAAATATGATGGTTTCTTCATAAACAAAACAAAACTATAAACTGGAGCAAAAGGCAAATGAACAAAGATGAATAAGACAAGCATATCCAGGTTATATTGTAATCAAAAAGAAAAGTATAACCAGCAAGATACAAGGAAAACTAGCCAACTTCATAAAGTAAAAATGCCCCAAACAATATTGGGAGGAAGTAACTATATCATTGTAAGATTATATGCCTCTTTGAGAACATGAAGCTTGCCTATGAGCACTAACAACAAGCTGGAGTTAAACAGTAAATGCATGAAGAAATGACAATCATAAGACAAAAGTGCCCCAAACAACATGGAAGGATGTAGCTATAGCACTCTAAGATTATATGCTTCTGTGAGCACATGAAGCTTCCATGTAGTGCTAACTACAAGTCTAAAAGCCTGTGTAAAAAAAAAAAAAAAAAAAAATCTGCATTTACAATTATTCACTAGCCTAAGCACCATCATCACTACTGTTTAAAAGTATATGAATGTAGAAATGATGATACTGAAAAACACAAAGAAAACAATCTCTTTATAACCCTTTCATTAATTATATAATACTTATTCTTGCAAATATATGTATGTCGAAATAATGTTAGTGAGCAAGAGAATGCAGCAAAATCTTGAGATGCCATAAGTAAAAACAAAAAAAAAAGAAAGTGGTTCTTGAAGGATTTTTTAAACCCAAATAGTATTTAAATAGTTTATAACCCAAATAAGTAGCTAACTAGCTGGCTAGTGTGCTAGATAAATCATCAAAACCAAAGGTGCCCCATACAAGAGTTCCCTCTCTTTAAGTGGGAACGGCAGGTGTCCTTCACCTAGGGGGGAGAGGGTAGTTGGCTAGTTGCATAACTACTCCATTCTCCATTCATCAAAAAAAAATAACCACCCCATTCCCTATTTAAGCTCCTTAAGAGGGAACTAGAGTGCCCTATTCAGAGAAAATTGTCTCAAAGCAAACCACTTTAAGAGTTGCTTAAGAAAAGCCAAAATAAAGAGAGACAGAGAGAAGTTCTCAAGAGAAGACAGGGAGGAAAAAAAAACTCACTAATACAGGCACGTAAAGGAAAGTCCTCTCTGTAAATACTTCCTATATATGTCTTCTGTTATGTATCCTTCTTCCTCTCTCTTTTGTTTTTTTTTTCACTTTTAAGAAAGGAAATAGAGGGAAAGAAACCATCTACGACCAGGTGCTTTTACTCGGTTGATTATGGTCCATCTATCAAGTCAAGTTAAGGATTAAACCATCTATAGTCTAATTCCCAAGGGCTGACTATGGTTCCCTTCAAACAAAAATGAAGAATAAAGGGATAAAAACCATCTACAATCAAATATTCAGTTTGAATAACTACGGTTCCCTTCTTGTATACAAAATCCAGAGGATTAAAGCCGTCTATAATGAAAATTTCATTTGATTGACTATAGCTTATTGTGAAGAAAGGAGTGAGAAGGAAATCTTCTTTGTATCGAAAAGAAAAGAAAGAGAGAAATGTATTGTTGTGAAGTTTCTCAATTGTTTTTTTTTTTCTATTCTCATTCTTGTACATGTGAAGTATGTAAAATAAATGCAAATGAAAAGTTCCTTTTAAGAAGTACACAATTATTCTTTTCTTTTGTTCTATGTATTCATTTCTCTAAGTCTGTAATTAAGGAGAACATCCATATGATTCCCTGAATGGGCTTTACCCAAAATAATAAAAACTCAATCACTCAATTAAGTGAATTATGTTGCATGAGAATTTCTTAAAATTTTCACAACAAAAATGGTAAAGGATTTCAAGGAGAACAGGGGAGATTTTTTTCCATTTTGTTGACACCATAGTTTTCAAGGCACCAAGGCGAGGCTAGGCAATAGGGGGCGTCTTGTCGCCTAGTTGCCTTTAAGTAAAAAACATATATCCCAGGGTAGTTCCCTAGGTTCCATAACCATATTTCCTTAATAATTATCCATAATTTTCATAAGTATAAATTTCATATTGGAGCATAGAAAACCAACATATTCATAAGAAAAATAAGAAAGAAAAGAAATTTCAAAAAGTATGGAGATTGAACCCCTATTTTGTTATAGGAAAAGAAGAAAAGAAAATGTGAAAGAAGAAGATGAAGAAGATGTGTAAGAAGAAAATATGTTGATAAGAAAATTTTAAGTTTTTCCTTACTTATTGGTTCAGGTTTTGAAGTCTGAGTGTTAAATACAGCATTTAGCAATGTTTGTGTTGATTAAACCCTAACAAATAAGAAAATAATAAAAAGAAATTAGTATATAAACAGACAAATATTTTAGTTTAATATAAGAATATAAAAGTAGTTTATAACACAAAGTACAAAACTACTTGGAGATTGGGCGAGGCAAGCCTCCAAGGGTGCCTTGTTACCTAGGCACCCACCTAAATGTTGCCTTGACAACTATGGTTGACACCCAAAGTTGTCCATTGTAGGTGGAGAAGATAGTCGACACTCAAAAGCGGATGGAAGATCTGATCACCATTAGGACCTTTAGGGGATTCCCTTTGTTCATTTGTTAACCCAAGATTGAAAGATACTAGGTGACTAAGGGAAAGAAGATATACTAGATTCAAACTAAGAATGCATATCAGGACCCCCCCCCCCTACATGACCTGGACTGAGCGCCTTTTCAGGTTAATAATAAAAGGGTTTTCTATAGAAAAGAATTTTATTAAAAATAAATATATATATATATATAAATAGAATGTAAGAAATTTCACCAAAACCATCAAAAGATGCAATGAACCTCAAAAATAAAAAATAAAAACCCTTAACTACACTGATGTCCCTCCATTCTATTAACCAATTCCAAAATAACCCATTGATCCAATTGAAAATCACTTACATTTGCATCTTTAAATTCACCAAGGGATAGAACCCAATCTGCTAACATCAAACAGATATCTGTTATCATTTTCCACCTCTGACTATTCTCATCTTCAAATGTTCACCTAATCCTATCTTTTCAAATTCCTCAGCACACCCCAAAGGGGCTGGACAACAGGACATTCAGCCACTTATTACCTCAGTTTGGGGCCAAAATAACAAATATCTCATTCAGTTGAACTGGAACAAAGCTAAAACAGATCCATAGCTCTTAAAAGCCCTGCAAAAGGACTCGCAAATGACATCTGCAAAGCTATATTTACAAAACAAACGAAGCACATGGTTAGCCCAAGTGTATCTATCAACGGCATCAAGGTTTCTGGTCAAAGTGGGGAATCTCTCTCTCACAGAGAAAGTATGTTTTGGATGTGCTAAGAGGAAACCAGTTAGTTGGGATCCAAACCGATGGAGACTCCTATGGATCCTAATGTGAAGATGACTAACAATCAGGGGGAATCGTTAGAAGATCCAGCAAGGTATAGAAGACTTGTAGGTAAGTTAAACCACCTCACTTTCACTATACCTAACATCTCATTCGGTGCTGGAGTACTCCCACAACTACTCATTGGAATGGTGTTATGAGAGTGTTGAGATATTTAAATGATGCCCCAAGTCATGGGTTGTTGTATAAGAAAGGGGGAGCCTTATCTCTAGAAGGATATTCAACTACCAACTGGGCAAGGTCCCCAATGGACAGAAAATCTACTACAGGTTATTTCATGTACTTTCTTGTGTGGGAACCTTGTCACTTGGAAAAAGCAAGAAGCAAAGTGTGGTTGCTAGGAGCAATGCTAAAGTCAAATACAGGGCAATGGCTCATGTTACCTATGAATTGATCTGGTTGAAACATTTTTCTTCAGGAAATTAAAATTCCATTTGGTCATCCCATCAAGATATTTTATGATAACCAAGTTGTCGCACATATTGCCTCCAATCCAGTGTTGCATGAAAGAACCAAACATATTGAAGTTGACTGCCATGTTGTAAGAGAGAAAGTGGCAAGTGGGGATATTATCACACCATATACCAAATCAAAAACGAAGTAGCCGATATCTTCACTATAAGCCTAGGTCAGTCAAGGCTGGACTATATTTGTAACAAGCTAGAACTATATGATATATATGCTCCAGCTAGAGGGAGAGTGTTAAAGTTAGTTGACAGGGGTAGTTTTGTCCTTTTTCTATTGTTTCCTCTATTCTGTATTCAGCTTATATTTTGAGGGGAAGAGTTGTAATTTCAAACTGTTAATGAATAAAAGTATATCATGGATCGACGATCAAGAGAGAGACTTCTCTTGACTGTTATTCCCTTTTCTTCTCGACTGTTATTCCCTCTTCTTTTTCTTTTCAGGTCAGCATAATGACGAGTATAGTACTCAAGGTCTTAAATTAGTTAGTTAATTTGGTTAAGGATTCAATAATTAAGCTAGGATAATAATACTTACTATTGACCTTCCGGTTGTTTTAAATGCATTAACTAAGTCTTATTCTTATACAATAAAGAGCTAGCAAAATGAACATTGTAAACAAAAAATGCCATTTGATCAATTGGAAGATGATGTGCCTGAGTAAGGAGATGGTGGGCTTGGGACTTGTTAGATTGATGCTAGGGTATTTTTCATTGCTTGGGGAAATAATGGCAGAGATTCCCAATTGAATCTGATACAAGTATCAATGGGATGGAGACATGTGGCAGGGATGCAGGCTTAAATGCTAAAGTTTTTCTAGCTTCTCCTTCAAAAGACATCTCTTCTCTGCTGAAATCATTCTTAAGTTCTGTTTCTTATGAGGGCTTTTTAGGAGCAACTAGATGTCAGGAGATCCTGTGGGGAGCTTTTTTATAAATAACAGATAAAATTTTACCAATCAACTAGTAATAACAAAAGTACAGTACAAAACACCAACCACAAAGCCTCCCCAGCCAAAAGGAGATACAGACAAGAAAGAAAAAACAGAAGTAGTAAAACATTCAAAAATTAATTACAGATTACAACCTGGCCCTGGACATTCCCATTCCGACTGGTCCTTTAAAACACCTGCTCTTTCCAAAACATCTGCCTATGTATTAGCACTTCTAGGACTCCAATTGAATGAGGTATTCATAGAATCCCCTAGAGCAAGTGTCTGCCATACCTTTGACTTAAACCTCCAAGGCAGTTCACCTTGGTTCTTCAACCAGCCAATAACTGTTTGACAGTCCCCTTCTCCCTTGTGTTTTTGTTTCCCCTATCTTTACTCCAAATACTCAACTCAATTAAGCCATGTCCCAATATGGGGTCAGCTACATGAATCCTATTCCACCGTTCTATTCTGTTAAGTGGCATGTAGAAAAGCCATTACCCAATGTTGGTCCTAGCTATCTGGGGGTTGAACTTTTGGCATTCTTTAGCACAAAGCCAAATCATTTCTAACTACTACAACCCATGTCCATTTTTTTTTGAGAAAATTTAACCAAGATTTATTGAGGGGGAGGAACAAGAGGAGATATACAAAACAGGGGGGGAACCCCTGCAAGTTACAAAGGAGGAAGCTTGTCGCTATACAGATGCTCCAAATACACACCAAATTTAGCTAGGCCATCTGCAGTATGATTGTATTCCCTAGAACCAAGAGGAGATATACAACCCATGTCCATTTTGGTCTACCCCTAGCTCTTTTAGATCTTTCAACTTGTAACAGATCAACTCTTCTTGTAAGTGCTATAGATAGGCTTGTCTGACATCTTAATCTACTTTCTCTCATTTTATCACCTCTCGGAGCCACAATTTGCAATGTCAGTGATATTTGGAAAATCTCTCCAAATTTTCCCCATTTTTCAAGAGGGTCATACAAAATTATCCAGGAATCTTTTTTCCTAATATCACTGATATATTCTCAATATTTCAGATTTCATTGAAAGACTACAAATTTAAGGTTTAAAATTTTAGAATATTATTATAAACTTTCTGATATTTCATTAAATGATCATAGTTTTTGAAAACTCTTTTCCTAAAAGAACAAATGAGGATTCAGTGATTGAGTGATTGGTTTGCTATTTTGATATGATTCAGTTACCAAGTATAATTCAAAAGACAAAGAAGGAACACAACTACAAAACAGGATCCTCAATCTACTCAAAACATATAGTGACAAAATAGACAAATGTCAAAATGGAAAGTAAATGACATACGTAAGAAAGAGAAAATAAATAAAAGATTAAAAGGAAGACAGAAAGAGAGTGATTGAAGTCAGTCTTCTCTATTTGATTCATATAGTCGTTTGTTATGGATTTTTAGCCTTAAAATGTGCAATTATACTTCTCCTAACGTTTCCACTAAGGTTTCTTAACAAATTCATGTTTAAAAAATAAAAATCTTGACTTTTATATTTTCCAAATATCTTAGTGAAATTACTAAAGCATACCCAAAATTCCCCATCTCTACATGTAAAAATGTCCATTGGTATCGAAATTGCAAACCATGTACTAGTTGCTTTCCCACACCTCCTAAGTTTATCAAGTTAAACTTCAATGGAGATGGTATGGGCAATCCAAAAGAGTCAAGCGTCATGCCAAAAAAAAGAAGAATCAAGTATCAAAGGAGTTTTAAAATGCACAATATTATTTTAAAATTCAAAATGAACAAAACATTACCCGGCTCTTTTTGTTTTAGGGAAAAAACATTGTCAATTGAACTCTATAGCCATGCACCCAGAAGTTGGGGTCAAGCAAGAAGGACATTTGAACACATATTAACACCTAATGCTGATACATACCTAAGCAACTATGATCAACATAGCAATCATTCAAGCGTCTACTAATCAAGAAAAATGCCATGCATCAAAAATAGACTCATACCAATAATGAGTGGTTTGTAACAATAACCCCTTTCTCAGTTTCCGTCCTGTAAACAATACAATTGGAAATTGTGGTTCAGAAAAATCAACTAATACAAATAATCATGAAACAGTGAGACATGACAACAGGGTAGAGAGGAAAGAATGAAATTGCTCAAATGACATTCTCAGAGATCAGTCCGGATAGGTAGGCACACATGGTGAGAACATTGAGTAAGCACTTAGAAAATTTTTTGACACCTATCCCTTAAAATTCCCCCATACAGCATACCCCTGAAAAAGATTAAAAACAACTTTTGATACAGTTGTCAGAATATTTATTAAGTGCTCATTGAATGTGCTTACAATGCTGTGCCTACTAGATCCGGACTCCTTAGAGATGGCCCCCAGTTAACCAATGGAGAATTAAAGTGACATGGAAAAAAAGTCAACAGAAACATGCACACACACAATTTAGTGCCTAAAAGCAATAGCAATTTCCAATAATCTGGGGGCAACCATAAGCATTTTTTCCTTTTTAATATTGCTGAGATTTAAAAGAAGTTTTTAAAGAATCCTTCTAAGGTTGAAATAAGCATCTTTATCTGAAAAATGATTACGCTGTCAATAATACAAGCATATAAGACCAACCCAGATCTAGGAAAAAAAATTTAACTAAGGACACAAGAACTGCATTAACAAAATTATTTATTTTTCTTTATGGTTAAATAAATTATTCCATTTGAAGAGGATGAGGTGGAAATTGTTCAGCAACAAAAATTCATTGCCACATGGAACCAATGCTAAAGCCAACATTAAGGTGATGGTGTCCACTGCAATAAATTAGTGACTACTATCAATTCATACAAAAAACAAGTATGAGCCACCCGTAAATAATTATTAAAGAATAAATAATAATGTTTTATTTTAAACCCATCAGTAACCAAGACTGATTGTTATAAACAGAACTCAAACTATTCAGTTCCCTAGGAGTTCCTAGATCTAGAGTACCACTTGATTGTAGCAGCAGCAGCAGCCAAGCAGAGATAATATTGCTTGTAATAGGTGTCTAAACCAAGTGCAGATGGCTCCTTGGCTGCCAGACCTTTAACCAGCACAGCTCCCTATAAACATTGAGGAATTCCATAAATAGCAAGTATAGCAAAGAAATATAGATGACATCACGACTGTTTTCAAAAGTGAAGACAAATAGTTGAAACGGTAAACAAGTAAGATGCATCTCTTACAACCTTGGTGTCATCAAAGCAACCACGAGACATTACAACCTGCATAGTTCAAAACAGAAAATGTAATTTTACCTGAATGCATGCATTATACACACAAAAGGATTTGCAGAATCCAAAATACTAGAGTTACCAATTGATCAAAAAAATACTAGAGTTACCACCTTCTTGACTGATGTATAAAACCTATCCACCAGCTCTGCTACTCCAACCATACTATCCGGGGCAAGCTTGTTTGGGGGCACAATGATCACCATGGGATCATAAAAATGCAGCAAGGTCTTTGTRTTCTGATATGTACTGCTAGTTTCGATGAATTGAGAAAGATGTAGTGCAGCTGACCTCAAGTCAAATGCAGCCACTCCAACCTGTAATCAAATTGGTGTTGTATAATCATTGAAAAGCACATAAGTGATGGCCATATGACAATGCATTCTCAGTGCTGTTGAACTCTTAGACGTTTACTCAGTGCAGAACCCAAAGAAATTAGTGTCTGGGGACTTTCACAACAGGTTATCAGTATAATGTAGAGTTCAACATTAGTAAAAATTATGGGTAGCAGTACTATCTTCACCAAGTCTACCACTCTTACAATATTATAATGTTATAAATCATTGTTCTTTATCATCTTAATAAACTAGATGGCCGGGTATACTAAGTGGAAAACAATAGTTTTAAAAAGTACTCCATACACCAATTGTTCTTTTGTATCAATCCTAGGAAGGAGAAATATAAGAAATCACACTGAAACTTCACCAACTTACAGTAATTTAAAAAAAAAAAAAAAAAACTAAGATATCTCAAAAACAGTAACCATTTTTGTCTTTTTATTTTCTAGGTGGGCGAGCAGATTAGAGGTTAGTAGGTCCGTAGATAAAAACAAATATCAAACCCGGTTTTGGGATATCAAGAATGAAAGTTTTACCATACAAGCTAGAAAACATGTAACCTTGAAAATAAAATAAAAATTCCACTATAAAAACTCAGTAATGTTTCCATGCATTTAATATTTTTGCCATAGGGTGGATAAGCTGAATTGGGCAGTGGACCTCACTGCCAACTGATCGAGAGAAATCCTCCTTGAAACTTGGAAGCAAACTAATTATTTGATACGGATGCAGTTCACCAAATGTGAGATAAGGCATCCTACCTCCTTAAAATTGAGAAAAGAATGTTGCAAGCCATTTCCTAGGGAATAGATCCCAAGAACCTTCGACTTGATTTGGCAAAGAGCAAGTAAATGCACAAGTACAAAGTTATCGGGAAGAGAAGGCCTTATTTCGATAAATAATAATTACAAGCACAGGTTCGAAACAAGCTCCACCGTTACATTTTTAATTATTCAACATTTGCTTAACATCTGAAGTTCAAATATTACAGAAGACTCATTTTTGCAGCATTTGAATAGGCTACTTCTCATTTTCTATACAGATTCATCCTTATAGTTTCTACTGTGCTAAAAAGTATAACAGGTGCCTTTAAATTCAAGATTTTGCTCTTAAATGTATAAACAATTTCCAGTTGGATTTCCACATGAGAACTACAGAAAATTCGTTTTCTCAATTCAAATTACAGGTAAGTTCTCTTAGTTCATAGATATCTGGACCATTAACTTTAATCCTCGCAATCAAGTCTGGAACCGTTAATTCTGAAGTCTGAGCTCGTAGCACTGAAGACGAAAATAAAGTAAATAGGATTTTCAAATCCAAATTTCGAGATTAATAAGTTCCCTTTTAGCCAATGCTTACAGGTAGGAACACAGGTTCATACTCGAGAAGCTAGAGAAGACCTGAACACCGATCAACGTGAAGGAGGAAAAGAATAAAATAGTTGTTGTTTCAAAAATCTTCAACCTCGATAAGATCACAACAGAACATTAGAGCAAGCGAGAGACAGAGAGAGAGAGAGAGAGTGAGAGACGAGATCTTGAATCAAATACGATACCTCCTTTGCTCTGTTCTCGATCAGACCGATCACTATGTTCGACTTCTCACCTTCGTCCTCCATTCTCCTTTTCTGCCGGTGAGAACGGATGGTCTTCCTACTACTGCAAAAAAGAGCGCCAACTTCAAGGTTTTTATATACATGCGATGCGACATGCCTCGTTGCACCGAGTATTTATACTGTCGTGGCCCGTGGTCGTGGGATGTGGGAACTTGATCTAATAGGACGAAAATACAGACATGATATAGAATTCATAACTTAACCCTTAGATTGGAATCTATGGTTGTTGTCATAGGTACATCTAACACCTTCGAGTGTATATTTTGCAATGCAGGAAGATACGAGGCTTCCGCTTCCTCGGATGTAATCTGTACAATGGGGCTATTTTTACGAGACCGGATCTGTTATTCACATATGGCGCCCCATAAGCGCCTCAGACGCATTGAGAACATTTTCCGCACTTATTATCCGCTTTTATTTTTACACATCGAATAGTAGTAGGTAGTAGCCAGCGAATACACGTGGCGGACTGCCGGTGATGGCAACAGGGAAGATTTCATTCAAATTCTAGCCGAAGCGAATGCTTGCAAGCTTGCAGCCTACGTTATCTACCAATAATGGCGGGAAACGGAAGAACAGATTCATCAACTCATCGTTCAGACTTCAGACTTGCATGCATTCGTTAACTAAGCTGGAAAGAGTTAGGAAATCAGAAAACCCTAATCTCTCCTCCTTTGCAGCATCTCTGCATTCTGCAATGCTGGAACCGGCTTCCTACTCTCATCCTCTTCCTTCTCTCGCTTGCATTTCGCGCGTTGCCCATCTCCACATGCTTGCTTCGATAAATTTCAGAGGGCTCTTGAATCTACTAGAAATCATAGATGAACGAGGTTAATCAAAGTATCAAACGATGATCAGGTGTCAGGGAAGAAATATTCGGATGACGGGTCCTGATAGTTGATATCGAACTCTGCAATGAAAGACGAACCGCATCAGGACGAATCTTTAGCACATTTGCAATAGAAACCAACGAAGAGTGAGCCTCTCACTGTCCCGTTCTAAAACATCACACGTAAGTAGAAGTGTTTCATCGCGTATCAAAATAAAATAGTAGAAGCATAACTGTTCATACGCAAGGTAGCCAGGTCCGGCCCGTTTTTTATCAGGCTTGGACATTATTTAAGGCCCGTGGGCTCGAGCTCTGGCTCTAAACAAGGCAGAGGTGAGGCAAAGCTAAGCACTCGAGACGTTTTGAAGACTAAAGCCTTTGAACAAAAAACATGTAATCCATTAAAAATAAAAACACGAAAAACATAAAACAATGTAGGCGATTTTCCCCCTAAAATCTAAATGTCATATAAAATACTAGAACAGTTCGGGTATCCTGGCGGCCTGGCCCGGTCCGGCCCATTTTTATCGGGTTTGGACATTATTTAAGGCCCGTTGGCTCGAGCTCCGGCTCTAAACAAGGCAGAGGTGAGGCAAAGCTCAGCACTCAAGACGTTTTGAAGACTATGCCTTTGAGAAAAAAACATGTAATCCATAAAAAATAAAAACACGAAAAACAAAAAACAATATATGGGTTTTTACCCTAAAATCTAAATGTCATATAAATCCAACTATTCAGCTAAATGATATAAACCAACAGTGTTGTTATAAGAGTAAAGCATTGTTGTTTCATTTCTTGCACTTATATGCATGTGCTTTAGAAAAAAAAAATAGATTATTAATCATGGGGTAAATGCGCAACAAGGTATCAAAACATGAATAGTAAAGAATATGAACAGTGCATCAAACTATTTTCATATACATTTGTATGTATTTATTTGTTATTTTTATGTTTATTTATTTGTGCAATATGCCAATACAAAACAAACATTCTTTTTTCTGTCTTAAATTTCCATTTTACAGTTATAAAAACTTTCATATTCAATATTAGCATGCTAAGCTCTTGAGGCTCAAGCCATGGATAATATAAGGCCAAAGGCCCAAAAGGAATAACCCTTAAACAACTCAAGGCCTAACTAAACCTTGTTAGTGAAATATGAAGGGAAGGGAGATCCATTATATGGATGGTCAAACCATGCAGGGTGGCTTGGCGAAATTTCAAAACTTTCTTTCTCTTTTTCAAGAATCATATTCCTTGATTTAAAAAAATTGCATTTTTCATGATTCGTTCTTGAAACAAACCAGACCAAATCTGAAACCAAGATTATGGAAAGGAATACTTGATACAGAATCCACGCAAAAAAGCTCCTCCCAATGTACATGTTCACGCCCAAAGAACTTACTAATTCTCCACTGAAAATGACACAGCTTTGAATGAGGCAAGACTAATAGAGAGATTCTTCAGCAAGAACCTCAATTCTTCAACAAGAGTCAAGCAGGGATGTGAGCACAGCTTCAAGATTGATTCTTCCAACAATAATCAATATCAAGATCCAATCTTAATCACTCCAAGAACTAGAGATCGAACAAGATAGGGCAGCAAAAGCAGAAGGAAAGAGAACTGAATGCAGAAAATTGTGAAACTGTATAACCTTTTTCCAGTTCACCCTCATCTTTTTATATAATCCTTACAAAAGAGTTAACCTCCTAATCTGATTAGGAGTTTCTTGATCCAAATCTTTATTTGGATCTAGACTCTTTTAAGTGATAATGCTTATCCTTTATCTTATCTGCAGATCAAGATTAGCTTCTCCTAATCAAATTAGAAGTTTCCTAATCCAAATCTTTATTCAGATTTTGACTCTTTAAGTGGATAAGATTTATCTTCTTATCCTTATCTACTAATCCATACCCAGATTCGCCCCCTATTTAATTAATCAAATTAAACCCAGTTCGAATTGAGCTTTAGGCCTATTAAGCTTTCAATCTCATTTCCCTTTAAGTGTTAGCTAGCTTGGCTCTCTTTGTATGGTGTGGGACCCTATCATTGATCTTCACATAAGCCACACGGGTTCAGCCTAGCCTTTGTTATAAGGCCTAGCCGAATTCACTATTGAATACAGTGAACTCCTGAGTCCATCAGTATGGGCTCTTAATGGACCCAACATTTACACTAAATGGTCTTTGGGTCCAATCACCTTATGAAGGCCCAAGGACTGTGGGAAGATATGAGATTAACCCATCAAGTAAAATCCCTAAATGGTTTTACACTTAATCTCTTAACCCATAATGATCAAACACTGCCTAATAAGAGATGACATCTCCCTTGGCTGCAAAGTACAGTGTTGCACTCTCTACTCACATGAATCCCAAGAATTAAAACATTTTTGCAAATATTTTGTGAAACCATAATATATATGTATATCTCTATATAGATATAATTTGGAAAAACAAATCTCAACAAATTTGAAATCAACTATTAGTAGTTTAGGTTTCTATTAGAAAGAGTGCATTCCCCAATCATTCGCTTTGTCCGACAAAGGGGTTGATCCCGTCACTATGATCACCCACTTAGGTGAATTCTCGAATAGCTCAATCCAATACCTAGTGCAATACCATAATCGAGTCTAGGGGTCAAGTTTAACTTTCTACTTTTGCCCATCTGTATCTAAGGTCCAAGGCATAACTGGAAAATGGTCTGGTTCAGGGTTTCAAGCAAAGCTACACTACATGTGCTTCAGGTCTCACCTTGGCAGCTGAGTCAAATCACCCCAACTGACTTAGCAGCACATTAGTGTCAGTCTTGGCAAAATAAACCTCCATACGTCTATCCAATGACTGTCAATATTCTAAGCTAACACAAGTCTCATTAGTATTCAGTTTAAGGGTATTATACAAAATACACCATAATAACACGAATCAATTATGTAATTTATTCATTTACAATAAATGTCAAAAATACATCAATCTGATTAGAACTATCGAGGCCAAACCTTTTTTTTCTAGCCCTGCCTTAAGGTTTAGACCTTTATCTTCACCTCAACAACTTTTTAAAACAATGCATAAAAGTGTCCCATTGGAACTTACACATTCCACTCACATAACATACTTTTTTCATAGAACCATAAACTATTTTTCTGTTTTAAGGTGATTTTGGTATTCTAACATTGAAAAAGCATTGTTAAGACATTTTGTTGTCACATTAGTGGCATATAAATATTTTAACCAAACTTTTGGTTGGTTGGTTGATCAAGTATAAATATTTTGTATTTTTTTAGATCATATAAAAGTGACTTTGGGGAAAAAATATCATTTAGTTCATAAGTATTGTGTGGGCATATATTATGTGGCGCCTAATAGTCAACTAATGGCATTTCTATGTAATAAACAGCAATGAACAATTTAACATTATGCATTTATACTTTGTGCCCAAAACATTTTTTCCTCAATTTCCAATGGATTCAACTATAATGCAGAGAAGACACGATATCAAAGAAACTTGTGACTAAATCATCCAATATCATAAAAGGAATAACCAATCAGATGGTATTTATCAAAATTCATTGCAGGCGATTGGTGAGAACATTTTCCATATATCGTTTTCAGCAAATAGATTTTCCCTTTCTCAATGCATAAACCCTATACAAACACGACACTTTTGCAACACCACAATACAACTACCCTCTAAAATATCATTAGTGGTGTTATATATCATTTAACTTCCAAAAATTAGATAACCTATGCGTCAATAGGATCATAAAAGTTATAACCAATAAGGTGACATTCATCAAAATACATATAGGGTTTGATTGGTAAAATCATTTCTGGTATCATACCTCTGTGGGTTATAGATTTACTCTTTTTTAGGTACTTCTAAAATCAGCAACAAGACAATCGGGACAAGGCTTGGATGAGGATGATTGTGATATTAGAAAAATGTAATATAAAAATGTATATTTTTGAGAGATCTCTTGGCCATGGATGTCGATGCAACAAGTTTAGTATAGTTTTAGCATAATTAGAACCCAAGTCCAAACCAATTAAGGGAGTGTCCCTGTATTCGGTAGTGTGGATATTCCATGGATCAATCGGTTTTTAAATACACCACACCCATTAGATAATTAGATCTTTGGTTTTGTGGATATTCCATGGATAACTTATCCTGAAACATACCATACCCGTTATGCATTTTTTTAGGTGAATGGCACATTTACAAATTATATGTAATTGGTTTTGAAACA